TCCAATAACAGTGCTGAATGAGAAATTGTTCTATCTCACACTAATGTATTGACTCTCTCCCCCTCCTGAAGCAATCAAGATTTCTTCAAATATTAAGCTAGTTTAGTCATAATACTCTTGCTTCAAAGTTAAAAGCTTAAATTTGAGTCCCATATCAGGACATTGGCCATATAAGAACATTTTTATCCTACAGCCAGTGAATGTTGGAAAATGTGCATTACAAAAATAAAAATCCCAGGAATGTATCATAAAACCAAACAGCAAAGCACAGCTAGCCAGGCAACAATATTCTAATATTTTCTGGATGTGTCCAAGGCCTCACCAATGGTGCAAGGCCTTGAAAAAGTTACCCTAAAATCAGGGAAACACTAGGGCAGTGCTACTTTATTGGGAGTTCCAATAGTCCCTTTCTACAGTTTATGGTTTTGACGTGTCATCTCTGATCACTCTTCTAGGATTTTACAATACATCAATATGATTTTCAAGGGTGGTTGCCTGAAATTCCACAGGATACTAGAAATGTGGACTTTCAAGTTATACAGGATTAAATCAACAAGTTTCAACTTATAATTGCACTCCTTCCACTTCAGTACTAACACTTAAACATTTAAATGTTACACAGTACAGTTGTCAGGTATTTAAATCCTACAGAGGGCCTGTGAGAAAACTGTGCTAAATTGAAATGATTGCTATGTAGGCTCTGTGCTTTGCTGCTTTCTGTACAGTGTAATGCCCAAAGTAAAGGGATTTGCAGCCTGCTAAATAACCAGGAAATACTTTGATGAAGGTGCAAATTAACAGTTCTCTGATAGTAAATGTTTTCCACCTTTATTATATTTCCAAGCACCATGTAATTTATCATTGTTCTAAAAACTACCATAGAATATTGCAGTACTCACTTAGCCTGTCGATGTTGAAAGTCTTGAGCCATGATAGCTACGATTTTCAATCCACACCCTGAATTCCTTGATTTTAATTTTTGCAATACAATTGGTTGCTGCAAAATCAATCACTCCACCTACAGGTGGACTGCAATCCAATCCTACAGCACAGTCATGAGAACAACAAATACACTGGTCCAAAGAGGTAGAGATATTCAGTACAATACAGAGATCAGGTTAGAGAAATATATTAGCACAGATATAGTTACTGATTTTAATATCTCCAGTAGATGTGTAAATAGAGGCTGTTGACGTCAGGAAACAGCTGAAAATTTCATTTATTTTTAGTCATTGTTGATGTGTAAAAATGCAAACTTTGTATTGCCTGCTGATTTAAATGAGTATAGAGAGCAACTGATTAAATACACTGTTGAGAGAATACAGGCCTAAGAAGAAGGTAACAGAAATTACAAAAGGCTAGCATGAACTTAAACTGATCTGCGCTATAAGGCTTTATATTATGAAGAGGACATCCATTGAGTGAAGCAAATGCTGAAAATCATTCTAAAAGCACATTTGGCTTGGAAAAGATAGACAAATGGCAGACAGCAAGCTCCAAGATTCTCTGCAGCACTGGAAGCCTTTATGCAAGAGGTGTGCAGAAGGAAAGAAGGCCTTCGTACACAAGGTACCAGAAGGCCCTGCAGAGCGATAGGTAGTGGGAACTAATATTCATTGGTGCCTTTGTTGCAGTGATCCGTGTGCCTGGATGTTATGCTACAAGAAATACAATGACTACATGAGTGGCCAAAATCGTGAATGCATCTTAAAATACAATATTTTGCCAATAGCTCCATTAGCCTCACACACTGCTCAATTTGCCACTAACTCTTCATGCATCTACTAACTTTTTTTTTAAAAGTAACAATGACTCATTCTTCATTCATAACTTCACCTCGCCCTTCCATACTTGGCATCACTACAAATCACACACCCTAACCACACAGCTTTCACACATTGGCAGCTATTCAATCATGATAGGCACATCATCCAAGCACGTTGTGCCACACTCACTGACATATTTCCCTATCTCTATGACAGGACAAAGTGTTACACATTCACAGGTAATAATTGGTGGGGCACAGACATGATGTAAATTTTTACACTGATGGAAGGAACAGTACTCAACACCACGGTGACCTTGCCTAAGACCATGCTCTGCAGCAGAGCAGAAATCATTGGAGATAGCACTATGCTCATACCTGATCCTCCACCTCATATCCATTTCCCTTTTATCCCATAACCTATCAAAATAAAAGTTTTCATCTGTCTGCATAGGTTGTTTTTGATTACTGGACCCCACCTTTCATTGCTTCTTATCATTGGTTACCTCGCTTCAGGCCCACAGCCTTGGTTATTGGGTCTCCACTACTCCAGCTATTGCTGCTCACTGGCCTCAGTTACACGTTGTAGCATAGGTGGGAAGACATGGGAGGAAAAGTAGTGAGGACAGTACCTGGAATAACGAATTTCAGGGAAAGACAAAGGGAAGACTGGACTACATGAGAGGGAGGCATAGAAAAGAATAGGATGTATAGGAAAGCGTTGGCTTCGATTGCATGGGAGGTATTTGGAGTTGGAATGGACAGCGTGGGGAGGTGAAAGGGGTTAGAAAATGCTAGTGAGGTGTGAAATGGGGGTTATTGATGGCTTAGGAGGAAGAAGAAGTAGGATAAAGGATGAGCTGGTATGATATAAGAGAAATGAATAGTTTGGCATAACATTATAGGATTGACATGGGAAGGATGGAATGGCAATGCAGATTTAAAGAAGATCGGTTGCAAATAATTTACAAATTACTCTATAAGTTTTGCAAATCTCTGACAATCTCTTTGATTTACAAGCTGTAGGTCATCTAAACACACACTTCTTGCTTTACCCCTCTCAACACCTAGCAACTGTACCTTTGTGCGTTTGTCCTTTCTGATACTCAAGATCTTGCCAGGCAGTGATGGTCAAGCAAGAAACAGAAGAGAAAGAGTCTGATGATGAAAAACCAATGTCTTTTGCTTTCACACTCTCAGACTTAGGGTTTAGAGTTGTGGGAATCCTGTGTAATTTAGTGTAGCTTAGAAATGCAATCGGCACATGATGAAACACCAGGCAGAAGTGGCCTGAAGCCAGGCCAGAAGAACAATGCAGCACAGGTTCCAGTTTGGCAGAGGGTGAGATCACATGAGTTTGCTGCGGAGGACTCAGATGATAAATTCAATGGAGCAGCTGACCTTAAAAGACTGAAATGTACACCCAATGAAATACTTGTTGTATTGGCAAGGTTGTTTGAAAGCCAGTGGTCACTGTTAAGGAGCATGGAGGACCATAAGAAGACCATAAGACAATGCAGCAGAAGCAGGCTATTCTGTCTAATGAGTTTGCTCTGCCATTCAATGCAATCGTGGCTGATCTGATAATCCTCAACTCCACTTTCCAGCCTTTTCCCCAATATCCTTGATTCCCTTACTGATAAAAAATTGTCTGGTTTAACGTTGAATATACTTAACCTAACCTTTACAGCCCTCTAAGGTAAAGGATTCCACAGATTCATTACTGTCTGAAAGAAATATGTTTTCCTAATTTCTGCCCTAACTGGTTGATCCATTACTCTGAGATTATGTCCTCTAATCCCGGACTCTTCCACAAGGGTAAACAACCACTCCACATCTACCCTGTCAATCCCAAGAGTCCTGTGTGTTTCAATAAGGTCACATTTCATTCTTACAAACTCCGGTCAGTACAGACTCAACCAACACAACCTCTCTTCATAAGAAAATCTCTCCATATCTGGTATCAGCATAGTGATCCTTCTCTAAACTGCATCCAATTCTAGTATGCTTTCATCAGATACAGGAACCAAAACAGTTCACAGTATTCTAGGATAACTAATGCCTTGAATAGTTTTAGGAAGACTTTCCAAGTTTTATACTTCATTTCTTTGAAATAAAGGTCAACAGTCCACTTGCCTTCCCTATTACCTGCTGAACCTGCAGGCTATTTTTCTGTGATTCATGCACGAGGACTTACAAATGCCTATGTGCTGTAGCTCTCTGCAGTCTTTCTCTATTTAAATAATATTCAGCTCTTCTATTCTTCCTGCCAAAGTGCATGACCTCACATTTTCCTACATTGTAGTCCATTTGCCTATTCACTTATCTGTCTCTAACCCTCTGCAGACACTTTGTGCTGTCCTCACCGCTTGCCTTCCTACCTATTTTTGTCATCAACAAATTTGGCTATAATATATTCACATATTTATCCAAGTCCAACGTGAACTCTGCACAGAACTTGAATGCCATTCCTTCCAAGGTGAATGTGGTGGCCAACTCCCTCAGCATAACTGTGGAGCCAACCATAAAGCAGCATCTGATGACTAATGTCACACCTTCCATTATAGTTCAAATAGAGCTACTCAGTGTTTGAATGCTTCAGTGGAGGCTTAGACACAAATCATATTTGCAACAATCTAAGCTTGTATAGTTTAAAAGGACACTGCAGAATCCTATAGCAGTTCAGAAATCTACCCTGCAATGCATTCCTTGGATTGCTGAGGAACTGCCTTGAGCAAATGACAGTGACACAGTGGAGCACAAAGCTGATTACCTCTCTTAGCACGACAGCATTCATCCTCCAATCATTCCCTCTCTAACAGTGGTGCAGATGTACCCTGTCAGCCAGTCACCAGCTTTTTGCATTACTTCATAAGCACTGTTCTCTGAATCAACTAGTTTATCATTTTTCCATGCTGAGTTAGGCTAAGTTCAGTAATTTATTCCATTCCATGTCTTTCAACGTTGACAATCAAGCTTTGTGTGATATACCACATCCAAAGCTGAAATCTAAATCCATAATGTTTATTTAGTTTCCATTGTCCAAGGTCCTCATTTCTTCAGATGATAAATCAGATTTTGTTCACACATGATCTCCCTTCAATCATGAGAACTGCCAAATAGTCAGAGCTTCCTATATCTGTGTCCTAAGAAAAATTTATAGTTGACACATAAAATTTTTTCATCTTAATGTGATAGCCCAGCATTCTGTTGCAATATAGCAGTAGAAACTAACCTTGTGAAGTCTTCATCTCCCATCACATGCCGAGGGACTGGAGAATATCGCCCTGAAGTGATTGCTGGCAACGGATACGTTGGTTTATTCTCAACACCACCCATATAACTCATACCAGAATTCACATGATTATCAGTCAGGGCAGAAAATGCTGCATCAGAATGATAAATGCAATTAGTTAGAAGCAACTACTCAAAGCTAAACATAACATGCTAGCCAGAATTGTTTTTTTAAGATGCCCAGGGCTAGAATGTATTGGGACATTAAAGTGTTCTTTTTGAAAACTTGGAAATGGACTTACGCCCTGATCTCTAGAAATAACCTCACTATTGCCTTGCAGAGGAAAACTTTTCTACCTCCCCACACCACCCACCCACCCACCCACCACCACTTCCCCCCTCCAACCCCCACCCACCACCACCCCTGCCATCCCCTCTGGAAAATAGCAAGAATTACTAAAATTTCAGACTGATCACAGTAATAATGACATACTCTGGACAATGTCAGGTCAGAGAGCTGGCCAGATCAACAATGTGATCCAAGCAAGGCAGAAATATATCAAGACATGGAGGACACTACCATGAAAAGTACATCCGGTTTATATCAGGTAGTAGTCTCTATATGGAATCTCTGAGAACAATGTGTGCAATTTGCTGTACGGAGGGACAAGCTGCAGAAAATACCTAGGTGAGTCATTATCTCCCAGTTTCAAAATGAGGACAAAATTAACCTGATTGAACTATTACACAATCGCCACATAATAAATAATGTCACTGAGTAAGATAACATTGTTAACTTACTGCTTGCATAGTCAGGAGGGGCATATATGTCATTGAGGTGACTGCCACCAGGTTTAGCAACTTTCAAATAAACCATATCTGAAGTATTCTTGAGAGCAGCCACAGCCTCTTCATGCCGCACCTCCTGCAGACTGATGTTATTCACCTGTCCAGCACAAAGAACAAGGCTTTTACATTTAGACCTTCCAGACAAGCACCTCTACAGTGCTGTAAGTCATACATTCCTATTTTAACATTTAGGATCATGAAGCGCAGAAGGCTTTTTTGCTCATCACATCTGGGCAGGCTATTTAAAAGATTAATCCCACTTTCCTGCTCCTTCTTCACAGTTCAAACGTTCAGTTCAAATATTTACCCAATTCTCTTTTAAAAGTTATCATTGAATCTATTTGCACCAACCTTTCAAGCAATGCATTCCAGCTCATAATAAATTGTGTAATTTAAATTCTAATCTTCCCTTTGGTCCTTTTACTAATTGGTTAAATCTGTGTTCTCTGATTATTGATTCTCCTGCTAGTGAAAACAGTGACCATAACAACTGTCCAAACCTCAAGTTTTCTCTTTTAATTGTTTCTGCCCTAAGGAGGACATTCTCTCCATCTACAGTATCTCCATATAAATGAAGTTCTATTTTCCTGGTAACACTGCAATAAATATCTTCCACACCATCTTCAAAAGTTTGACACTTTTCTAAATTGCGGTGGCCAGAAATGGGCAGAAAATTCCAACAATGACATAACCATTGATTTATAAATATTTAATTTAGGTTCCTTGCTTTTGAACTTTATGCTTCCATTAATAAAGCTAAAGAAAAGCCCGATGACCTTGTCTTGGCAGCATCAAAGATGTGTTTTTGCAAATAACTAGAGCTCACTCTTCCTGCATCTACATTAAAATTGTAAAATTTAGGATTATAGAGTCATGGAGTCAGACAGCATAGAAACAGACCTTTTAGCCTACAAAGTCTGTGCCAACCAACAAACACAAACTACACTGATCCCATTTACCTGCACTTCGTCCATAGCTTATAATGCCCTGGCATTTCAAGTACATGTCCAGATGCTTCTTAAATGTTGTGAGTGTACCTGCCTCCACCACCCTCTCAGGCAACACATTACATATATCTATCACCCTCTGGTGAAAAGAAATCTCAGATCTTTTCTAAACCACTTGCTCCTCACGTTAAACTTATGCTTTCTGGCCTAAGACACATTTGTCATGGGGAAGAGATTCTCACGACCTACTCGGTCAATGGCTGTCATTTTTTGTATTCCTCAATCAAATAAACTCTCCGCTTCTTTTGCTCCAAGGAAAACAAACCCAGCCTATCCAATTTCCCCTCATAACTGACACTTTTCATCCCAGTCAACATCCTGGTGAATCTCCTCTGCATCCTTTCTAGTGTAATCATGTACTCCCAATTGTGTGGCAAACAGAACTGTGCACAATATTCCCTCTGTGCCCTAACCAATGTTTTATAAAGTTGTAGCAAGACATCCTCATTAAAAGGAATTCTATGCTCTGGCTAATGAAGGCAAGCATCCCATATGCCCCCCTTCACCATCATGTCTATCTGTGCTGATATCTTTAGGATCTATGGACTTAAAGACCAAAGTCCCTTTGTTCCTCACTCCTCCCTAGGGTCCTACCATTCATTGCGTATATCATTCTCTTAGATGATATCGTTCCCAATATCATTCCCAAAATGCATCACCTCGGACTTATCAGATTAAAAGTCGATCTGCCACTGCTCTACCCAATTTACCAGCTGATCAATATCAGACTGTAGCCTGAGACCATCTTTATCATTATCAACAAAAGCCATGATGTTCATGTCATTTGCAATCTTATTAATTAAACCTTTTACGTTCACATTCAAGTTGTTAATGTACATTACAAACGGCAAAGGTCTCAGCACTGAACCTTGTGGTATGTCATTGGTCACAGGCTTCCAATTACAAAAACAACTCTGCACCAACACATTTTGCCTCCAATTTGTAAGCCAATTTTGGATCCAGTCTGCCAACTTGCCTTGGATCCCATGAGGTGTTACCTTTGGACCAACCTTCCATGTGGGACTTTGTCAATAGCTTTACTGAGGTCCATGTAAACCACATCAATGCACTACCGTCATACGTATATTTAATCATCTTTTCAAAAAACTCCAACTAAATTAGTCAGACACGATATCCCTCTAACAAATTTGTGCTGACTATCCTTAATCAATCCCTGCCTCTCCAAGTATTGATTAATCCTGTCCTTCAGAATTTTCTCCAATAATTTCCCTCCCAGTGATGTCAGACTAACTAGTCTGTAATTACCTGGCCTTTCCTAGCTGCCCTTCTTGAACAAAGGAACCCTTGTTAACATGTTCTACAGCCTTGCGATCCCAACTGAAATCCCCAGCTATAATGTCATTTTCCTCTGTGAATACAGAAGAGAAGTATTCATTTAAGACCTCACCCATGTCCACTGGCTCCATGACAGGATACCCCTTTGGTCTCTTGTAGGTCTCATTCTTTCCTTAGTAATCCTCTTTCTCTTGGGGTTTTTCTGATCCCATCTACCAATGATATTTCATGGCCCCTCTTTGCCTTCCTAATTTCAGTTTTAAGCAACCTCCAACAATCTCTATACCTTTGAAGGTCTTCCTCTATTTTTAATGTGCTGTGCATTGCATATCCTTCCTGTCTTTTCTTTAAAACTCTCGATATCCCTTGATATCCAGGGTTCCTTGGACTTGCTGCCCTTGCCCTTCACTCTTAGAGGAACACACTGGCCCTGAATTCTCAGTTTACTTCTTTTGAAAGACTCCCACTTTCCAAATATAGATATACTTGCAAGTAGCTGCTCCCAGTCTATGTTTGCCAGATCATGACTAATAATATTGGAATTGGCCTTTCCCCAGGTTAGACACTTAACTTCTGCAAAATCCTATCTCTTTCCTTAATAGCTTTGAAACTTACAGAGTCATGGTCACTATCCCCAAAACGCTTGCTCACTGAAACTTCAACAATTCGACCAGCTTTATTCCCTAGGATTAGGTCTAGTACTGCCTCATCTCCAGTAGGACTATTTATGTGCTCTAACAAAAAGCTCTCCTGGATGCACTTTAAAAATTCCACATCGTTTGATCCTTTCACACTAAGGCGATCCCAGTTAATGTGAGCCAAACTGAAGTCCCCTGAAACTATAAATCCTGTTTCTCTCACACCTTTCAGTGATTTGCCGATATATCTGCTCCTCTATCTTTCTCTAACTTTTGGGAGACCTGTAGTATAATCCCAGCAAGGTAATCACCCCTTTTTTATTTTTAAATCTACACAAATGGCCTCATTTGGACACCCTTCTACAATGTCCTCCCTCATTATTGCAGAGATGGTTCCTTTATCAATATAACTATACCCCTACCTCTCTTTCTTCCCCCACTATCGTGCCTGAAATTTTTATACCTTGGGATGTTCAGCTGCCAGCCCTCTCCATCCTTCAACCACGTCTCTGTGATTGCAGCAATATCATATTTCCACAAGTTGATCAATGCTCTTAAGTTCACTGCTTTAGAAGTCAAGCTCTTTGCATTGAAATAGATACAATTTAACTTTCTAGACCTTCCTCCATGTGCCTTATCCTGCTTACGTCTTCTTAGTCTACTTGACTGTCCTAGCATTCTTTCTGCCTCTGATTGGACCTTGCTCCTGACTTTATAGCTACTCTGTACCCCATCCTCAAGGCAAACCAGTTTAAATTTAGTTAATCAATTTAGTTAATGATGCCTCTGTCATTCTTCCTCCTAAAATTTAATGTGACATATGTTTTCCTATTTCACTAATCTCTGTCCTCCTCAAGTCTGCTATTACCATCCTCACTTCAGAGTTTTGTGCTATCTACAAATCTTGAAATTGTGCTCTGAACAAGCTCAATCATGTATGTCAAAAACACCACTGTAATACCATCCTCTGTGGGACACTGCTGTTCAGTTTCCTTCAAACTGAAAAAAAAACAACTGCTCATCATGATTTCCTGCTTTATGTCTCTTAGCAAATGTCATGTTCACACAATCACTGCCTTTTTAGACCATGAGCTTTCATTTTATCAACAAGAGTACCACATAATGCTTCTTGCAAATTGCCTTTGGAAGTTTAAATACACAGCATAAATCAGTGTCCAAATTAACCTCTCAGTTACTTCATGCAGTTGCAAACAAATATGCTCTTAAGTGCTGGTCCTGGCTTAAATTTGTTCATGTGCAATTTACTATTACTATACAGATGAGTTTCACATTCAAAAACAGAAAGCTCATCAAACACAAATGACAGTATGAATATAAAACAGTGCTTACAGCAAGCAGCCGATCTCCTGTCTGCAGTCTACCATCTTTCTGGGCTGCACCCCCTTCAATGATTTTAGTAATATAGATACTGTTATCTCCTGGAATGTGCTGATTCCCAATTCCCCCAGCAATACTGAACCCGAGACCTAAGAGACAAAGTATGAAAAACAATGTTACTTCTTTGCGATACTGCAATTCTAAATAAGGGCCTAGGCAGGCTATGATGAAGATGGATGTACCTAATTATAAGGGTTTTAACAATTGAAGAATATGTCAGACTTCTAGATTTGACTGGTATTACAACCAGAAAAGAAGTGGTGAATCAATTCCCCTCTTTTAACCCCCTGGGTTGGCCTCAATAAAGATTTTAAACTACTTTTAAAATGCAACTTTATCACACTTCAATTAAAACATGATGCAAAACAAAATTAAGGACACAATTACAAGGTTTTTTCGATTGAAAGAAAGAAGAATGATATTAATTTCTAACCCCAAGAAAAAAATAATAAAATGTGACATCAAACACAAAAAGGATGATCAAGAAAATGCAATTATAAAAAAAAGTCTCGAGTCTTTGAGGTATTGAGTTTAAATCTTCAGCAGTAGCAACAGTTTAGATACCGCTGAGTTCTCAGTGGATAGATATTTCTTCAATTTGATATATCAGCAGGTACTTTCTTTGAAAGACAGAGAAACAGAGAGCAAGAATGCCACAATAACTGCAACAATTACTAGAAAGGTGAATATTCCAATGCTTTGAGTGGTTTCAAACTGTGTGCCTCAATACTTTGAAAGCTTATACAGATTTAAGTAACAAGTACTTTAAGCACATCAGAATCTGGGAGTTCAGAAGAAGACAAAACTGGACAATGAATAAATTTAACAATTGAACACAGTACTGAGGATATTACGTGAAAAATCTGTGGAAAGCCATTGCCAGAGGTGGAGGGGAAGAATTTTGATTTAGGAGAGCAATGGACTTGACAATTGTACAATTTCCCTGATGTATTTAACTGAAAGACTAACATTTTTTGGTGAAGAGGCCCAAAATAATAAAAGTGGTGAGCTGCCAGAATTGTACTAATGTGGACAGAAAGCACCTGAATGGAATTTGGTAGGTTGTGGATAAATTGATAAATCCTCCTTCATGATGAGCCAGAGAAACATGCAGCAGTGAGTCAGATGATGAATTGGAGACTGTGGAGAAATCAGTAGTGGGCAGGACAATTCATGCTTCTCCTGGTCCACTAAAATAATTACTTAAATAATATACGCTTATTTGGAATGGTCTCAAATGGTCCCCTGAAGGAGTTTTGATTTGTCATAGCATTCAGTTCTAGTGTGCAAAATACATGAACTACATGCTTACAAGATGAAAAACAAAATTGCATTGCAAAGTACACCCTAGATTCCAAAAACAATAAAGGAGTAATGATGGTTGAATAGAAATCCATTTGAAAATGTGCTGGACCTTCAATAGTAGGCTTTCTCTTTAAAAAAATGTATCTCATTACTTCCCTGCTTTGTCTAAAAAACAGTGAGATAAAAATATTTCTAATGCAAGATGCCAATTCTCTCATGAAATCTAGCCTAATTCCTTATCTGTGTAAATATCTTGCAGGCCTCACAGTTCCATGGATTGTGTTTCTAACTCATTACTTCCTGTAAAGACTTTAACCTCCTTTTGTCCCTTTCTCACCATTATTAGAATTGTTAAAAAAAAACTGGAGGTGAAGGTGCAGATGATGGTTTCAGCAGTAAATGGACTATGCCAAGGGTAGAAGAGAACATATGGCCATTCATACCATGGAGATTCGCGTTGTAGATGGATAGCATGAAAGATAATTCTAGAATTTATGATAGATCTTATCAATGTCCAGTTGGAAGAAACGTGTGTGATCCAAGGCTGGATACTGGTCAAGCAGTCTGACAATCCAGACACTACAAGTGTTGAGGGAGACAATGAGAAACCTGATCTAAATATAGCCAATATTTGTTGTAGCTGATCACATATCTGCTGATGGAGAGATTCCCCTGAAGAAAAAATCCAAACAAGGAGTTGCTGGAAAGTTGAAGGCGACAACATGTTCAAGAGCTTTGGAAAGAAAGCAGAGATCTGAGAGGATAGTATTTGCAAACTGAAGGTGAAGGGTAAGGTGAATACAGTGGTCTTGAAAGAGAGGGGTACAGTGCCTGGGAATGGAAATAAATTAGTATGGCAGCTAATACTGCAACTGTGTTATCAGTAGGTTGATGGTAATGTGGTGAATGAAGGAGGAGGTGAGTTTCGTGCATGAGGTGTGGCAGAGAGGGCATGAAGGTACATGAAAGATGAACTGGTGAAAAAGGTGTATTCAGGATTAAAGTAACAGAACTCCGAAGAAAGTTTAGCTTGGTGAAAAATGGTATTGAGAACAGTCTCAATTGTTTGTACAAATGTATGAATTAGGAGCAGGAGTAAGCCACTTGGTCCCTTGAGGTGGCTCAATTAGCTCATGGTTGATCTCATTGGTCTACATTCCCACCTGCCTCCAAAAGCCTTTCACCTTCTTGGTTATCAAGAATGTATCTATCTTCCTCTGCACTAAATATATTCAAGGATTGTGCTTCCAGTACCTTTGAAGAAGAGGTATCCAAAGACCGATGACCCAATGGAAGAAATATTTTCTCCCAGTCACTTTCATTAATGGGCAGTCCCTTATTTTAATAGAGTTACCTCTAGTTCTAGATTTTCTGACAAGAGGAAACATTTTCTCCAGATACTCCTTATCAAAGCCCCTCAGGATCTTATGTTTCAATCAAGTCACCTCTTACTCTTCTGAACTCCAGTGGCTACAAGCTTAGACTGTCCAATCTTCATCATAAAACAACACATTCATTCCAAGTAATAATCTAGTTAACCTTCTCTGAACTTCTTTCAAACCATTTCCATCATTCCTTAAATAAGATTAATACTGTGCACAGTGCTCACCAATGCTCTGTACAATTTGAGCAAAACATCCTTACTTTTGTATTTAATTCCTCTTGTATGAAATGATAATATTCAAACAGGTTTCCTAACGACGTGCTGTACCTACATACTAATACTTTGCAATTTCTGCACTAGGACACTCTGATTCCTCTGCATTTCAGAGCCCTACAACATCTCACCATTTAGATATAATGCTTAATTTTCCTACCAAACTAGACAAATTCCCATTTTCCCATTCCATTTGCAAGATCTTTGCTCACTCACTTAACCTATCTGTATTCCATTATAGTTTCCTTTTGCCCTTTTCACAACTTATTTTCCTACCTACCTTTGTGTTATCAGCAAATTTAGCAACAATACTTCCACTCCCTTCATCCAAACCATTTAAACAAATTGTAAAAAGCTGAGGTCCTACCACTGATTACTAAGGCTGACCACTCATTACATCTTATCAACCAGAAAACAACCACGATAGGGAAGAACATTTAGTCTGAATAATCCTACACTTTCAGAACACTCCAGCTTTTAAACCAGTTATGTCACAAATAAATGCGATGCTCCAGCTACAACCATTATAGCTGGCATTCTGCTGCTGTTAATCATTCAAATGTGCACATAAATGTTTCTTGATTTCAATTTTAATGTTGTTCTCTATAAACGTGAAACTGTGATCTCTGTCCTACTACATGAGCATATCTGATTAAAATTGTTTTGGGATTACCTTCTCTATTTTGTTAATTGTCTCATAAACATACAAAAGCTTTCCTCTATGCGTTTAAGGCTGAAGAGCCATAGCCTATCAAATTGCACATCTCATTGCTCATTTAAAAGCTGAAATCAACCCATTTCTCTTTCCTCTTTTCATTGCCTCCAGGAATTCTTTATATCACAAACAACAGAACAGTAGACAGTAATCCAGATGCAGCCTGACCAGACGACTGCAGTACTGAGAATTTCAACTTCAGTGATCTGGCTATATAACTAGGCATTTATTCAAGAATATATAATCATTTTAATGCTATTTAAGCACAGTGAGAGATGAGTCAACTAGCAGTCCTAGATCTCATCAAATTTTCTCTTTGATTCTGGTCATTTCACTGGATAGCATTGTCACTATGTCTGCTTTACTGAAGCATGGATAACAAATGTTTTATGATGCTCAAAAACGTAAAGCATCACTTAGCTAAATGTTGATTATTACGCCAACACCTAACTCCAGAATAATATTCATATCATCTGTTTTCTCGCTGTTAACTTTTTTCTTAGGAAAACATATTTATTTTTTGCCATGCTTTTGTATATTTTACTGGGTCAGTTAGCCAGTTTTTGTAAACCTGTTTTTCTCACATATCCATCAATTTAACTCATAACTGTGTAGGCTATCCATGCCAAATTGATTACTATGATTTGGCTATGGTTTGAACTACACATTACAGGTTATTGTGCTTAATCACAATTGCCCATGGTTGTAACAGCATCTACATCCATCAGTAACACTGTGGTTAAATACGGGTTACAGACAGAAATTTCACTGCCAGGAAGAGGCAATGTTTGGTGTGTGCAGGATGTGATAGTTCCATAAAATTATATGAGATCAGGATCTGAATGTCATTGCATCTCTTCTGGTTTTCCCCAGTGTGGGTTCCAAATTCAGATGGGCAAATAATTGAGGAGATTACGAAGGAAATTAAGAACCTTTGAAATCTAAAATCCTTCTTTCCCAATAGTGCATGGCTTCCGTGCTATGTATGCACCTTGCCAGCATCACTGAAGTGAATGCACACAGAGAAATGCTTCTCCACAGAAACTGGCAAACTGGGATATCTTTGACCATTTACATTGAGGAGCTCCCAGATATGGCTGGTGTTCAAAGCATTTCTCTCACTGACTTTCAATCCCTTGAAAGTTGCTTTAGCTGCTTAGCACTTCATTCACTTCCAGCTACTCTTTTATGTTACTATGCTTCACTGCAACCTGGGAAAATCTTATGTAGCCTCCCAAGGGACAAAGGCAGGTGCCACACTAGCACTAACAACTCCAGCAGGAGCTAATCATCAGCTGCTTTATCCTCAACCACATCTCTATCATAGAGACAAATACTGAGATTCAGTAGTTCCCAGCCCACAATCTACAGGCAGAGCAACAGCACTCTTGATATGTCAGCACTAGTGCCTCATGACCCTTAGCAGTAACAACAAGTAACTGTCAATATCTGCTGCCTCCTGAAACCAATGTTCTTCCCTGGTTGACATGCCTTGCCATTGAGCAGCAAAGTGATACCAGCGGAGGGCTACATCCCAAATTCCTTGAGTGTCTGGTTCTAATAATTTTATTTGCTCTATTCTCCTGCAAGGAGAAGAAGCAGAGAGGTGAAATGTTTGTGTATCCCAGTGATGAAAGTGATGACCAATGTTCTAATTGCCAGTGTGAAACAATACATAACATTTCCACTGGTCTCAGCAATTAAAAAGGGAGAATTTATGGTTGGTCCTGTTAACTAGAAATCCTTTGACAGAATGGGTGTGTGATCCCAATTAGTCAGGGAGCCTGGAGGTGGGATGCTAATACCATGGCTTTGGGAAGAAGCCTCAGAAAAGCTTGATCAATAAGAAATTGGGCTCCCAACCTAAAACATTGTGTCACCCTTGAGTCTGGGACTAAACCAAGAAAGTTCCATTCAGAATTGAGTTCATCACTACTCCACACAATTATTGCATCATTACCTCACCTTCAACATTTTAGCCGCTCTGTTTCAGGCTGTTTGTCCAATACCAATCTTCCACTGTGGTGTGGCCTTTGCTCCAGCAGGCTATTTGTATCTGATGCAACAATGCTTATGTTAGCACCCATAACGTAAGAACTAGATGTGAGACAGTAGTATTGAAAGGCATTTTGGATTTACCTACAGCAAATGGTTTGCAGCAGTTCAAGAAGGAACCACCTTCTCAAGGGCAGTTAGGGATGGGCGATGATTGCTAGCCCAGGTGGTGAAGCCCACATCCCCTGAATGAATAGAAAAAAATAATTCATACTGGCATGGCCAAAAAATATCAAATCTACCACCAGAATGTCTTCAAACTCAGCTGATTTGAGTGGGTACAGGTTAAATCTAATGGATTGTGACTATATCATGATCTGTGCATATTGGTAGTCCTGCCACTGCTGGACCAGTAGTATCTTAACAGGTAGAAGATATTTAGAAAGCCATATGTCCATGCGTATTCATACTATAGTGTAATTCTGCCAATGCATAGAATTGGTGATTCGTATATTCCAAGAGACAGTCTTAGCAGTAGACATTGTCTATATGGACTTTAGCAAAGTGTTTGACAAGATTCTTCATGGTAGACTGGTGAGCAAGGTTAGATTACATGGGATCCAGAGTGCACTAGCCAACTGGATACAAAAATTGACTTGAAGGTAGGAGACAGAGGGTGGTGGTGGAGGGTTGACTTTTGGATTGGAGGCCAGTGACCAGCGGTCTACTACTAGGATCAGTGCTGAGTCCACTGCTTTTCATCATTTATGTAAATGAATATAGGAGGAATGGTTAGTAAGTTTGCAGATGACACCAAAATTGCTGATGTAGACAGTGAAGAAGATTATATCAAAAGTACAATGGGACCTTGATCAGATGGGCCAATGGGCTGAGGAGTGGCAGACGGAATTAATTTAGATAAATGTGAGATGTTACATTTTGGTAAGGCAAACTAGGGCAGGACTTATACACTTAATGATAGGCCCTGAGGTGTGTTGCCGAACAAAGAGACCTAGGGATGCAGGTGCATAGTTCCCTGAAAGTGGAGTCGCAGGTAGACAGGATAATAAAGAAGACGTTTGGCATTGGTCAGAATATTGAGTATGGGAGTTGGGATGTCATTGTCCAGATTACAGGTCATTGGTGAAGGCACTTTTGGAATACAGTGTACAATTTTGGTCACCCTTCTTTAGAAGGATGTCGTTAAACTTGAGAGGATTCAGAAAAAGTTTACAAGGATGTTGCTGGGATTGGAGGGTTTGAGCTATAGGGAGAGGCTGAATTGGCTGGGACTTTTTTCTGTCAAACATCAGAAAATAAGAGGTGACCTTATTGAGGTTTATAAAATCGTGCAGGGCATGGATAGGGTGAATAGTCAAGCAATTTTTTTTTCCCTAGTAGGGGAGTCCAAAACCAGAGGACATGGATGTAGGGTGTGAGCAAAAGGAAATTAAAGGGACTTGACGGCTAGATTTTCATGGAGAGGTTACTGAGTGTATGGCATGAGTGGCCGGAGGAAGTAGTGGAGGAAGGTACAATTACAATATTTAAAGGTATCTGGATGAGTTTAAGAATAGGAGGGGTTTAGAGGGATATGGGCCAAATCCTGGCCAACGTGACTACTTCAGACTGGGATGTCTGTTTGATGTGGATGAGTTGAACCAGAAGGCCTGTTTCCATGCTGTATATCTCTATAATTCTACGACTTGTAAGGCCATACCATGGAGTTCCACTTACAGGGATACTTGTCTTTTAGGATGCATAGTGGTAATAGGTTGGCATTAGCTCTTGAGCGAAAACAAAGTTGCTGGAAAAGCTCAGCAGGTCTGGCAGCATCTGTGAAGGAGAAAACAGAGTTAATGGTCTGGTAACCCTTCCTTAGAACCGGACCCAAAACGTTAACTCTGTTTTCTCATTCACAGATGCTGCCAGACCTGCTGAGCTTTTCCAGCAACTTTGTTTCTGTTCCTGATTTACAGCATCCGCAGTTCTTTCGGTTTTTATGTGGCATTAGCTCTTGTGTCAATTCTGTCAACTCTTATCATTCCGGCTGTTTTGTTCTGTGTTTTCAAGAAATATATTGATGGTTGTAAATGCTTCCGATTGCGTTGTACTGATAGCATTATGTATGAGATTATAATATAGAAAACTTGATGATCTTCTGAACCTTTTGCTCAGTTGACTGTGTACTTCATCCAAGTGTTTGAAAGTAGGTTGTGCCAAATTAGTAACCCCCAAATTCCCCACAGCTCGGAATGTGTACACCACTGTCTTCTGTAAGTATGTAATAGGGGACATCAGCGGCAATAAAGATGCGACCAATGCTCTTATTCCCAAGGTTGGGCAATAAATCATATTCCCCACTGCCTCAGCAATCAAGAGGAGGTGTAGTTTGTGGTTGGCTACCGTTAGGAACATGAGCTAGCAACCTCCATTACCAGAAAAAAGTATCACTCCACCCATATGCAGCTAGTACTGATTGTATCATGTAAGTCCCTATAATTTACAATTCACTTTAAGCTAGATTTAGACTCATCCTCACACTGGCATAGATAGATCAGCCACTTCACTGACTCCACTGCAGTTGGATTTGTCAGCCTTTATAAGTCTGGGAAAGGCGAGGGTTCCAGAGGACTGGAAAATGGCTAATGTAACACCCCTGTTTAAGAAGGGAGGGAGGCAAAATTATAGGCCGGTTAGCCTGACCTTGGCCACTGGTAAAATTTTCAAAATATGTGCCATGGCTGCAGAATCAGGCCAAAAGGAAGTACACCTCTACACTGTCTGCTTCCAATCCCACTCATTGCCCACAACTTCTGACTCCTCCTCAATTAACCATTGCCTTGACAAAAATCAGAAGTTTTGTTTGCTTCTCTGCTGGAGATGGATTTGCAATCCAGAAATGAACTCATTGGGTTGAGCTGCTTCCATGGATTCAATCTCATGTTGTTCTTTCTTCATAGATTCTGACTTCCATGAGGTCTAGCTGTTGGGGCAGGGACAAAAATCACAGGCCCTGATGCTGCCTCTGGCCTGAGGTCCTGGCTGCATCCCTGAGTCCTCAGACTTGCACAGAGCTCCTGCCCCTAACCTGAACACTACAGCCCCAACCTTGACCCAAACAGAGGGCAGCAACCCTGTCTCTGATCTGAGCACAGCAGCACCAGCCCTCAACCTGAGCACCTCAGGTCTGACCAAAGCATAGCAGTCCTTTTGCCTGACTGAAGCATAGCAACCCTATTTTCTGACCTGAGTACCAGAGGTCCCAGTTGTTGTGCCCCTGTCCTGGTTCTTTGCATACCTATACTGTACTCTTGAGGTTGCTTTCTAATGCTGGACTGTCTATATTTTAAGTCTGCTGCAACTCTGTCTCTAAAAGTGACTACTGTTTGACTCTCAGCAGTTCTAGTAAACTATTTTATTTACATACTAATATACAGAATACTGATCTTTGCAATACAGTTCTATAGTTAAGTTATCCATTCCTCTCTTAGCATCTCAACTGCATGTGCCAGAGCATCATCATATACATCATCGTCGTTAGCATATGTATTCTCATTATTCTATGACCACTTTCCAAATTTCACTTTTGCATTCAAAATCCTGTATACTCCTGAGTTTGGGAATGGTAGACACTGTGTATTCCTGGGACTTCGAGTAATCAGGCTCTGTGTTTTCTGAGACCTGGAATGCAGGCACTGAATATTTCTGAGTGTGTGAAAGTGCAGCTGCTGTTATTGAGTCTGTGAATGTTTGAGTTACTAAGAATCAGAAAGCCAGCTGCTTCACTAGATTATTGAGTCAAGGTTTGCTGACATATTATTTGTGTTGTATAATCAGAAGTTATTGCTTATATTCATATTTTGGAAAGAAACATATACTTTAACGATACTGCTTTAACCTTGGAAGAAGGGTTATCAACAGAACAAGGAAACTAAGGACTGAGTTCTGAGGATTGATAGGCAGTTAGTTTTATCTTCCTTTCCTTTCCTTGCATTGGTAATAATGGCACAGATCAGATCAGCATTATCGTCAGTCATTAAAAAGTTACCTTTAGGTCCTTTCAAAAGATTCACTTCTAATATAGCCTCTGTGGCTGGCTGTCTTCTACGAACTAACAGTCGAACAACGGGTCCTGCCTCCTTCAGTGCCTCCACTGCTTTACTGTGAACGACTTCTGAAACATCCACATCATTGACTCGTAGCACACAGTCATTGACCCTGAAAACACCAAAAGCAATCAAGGTTGAGGGCTCCAGCAGTGGACATTTCCTGCAAAATGGACATGTTTCACTTCATCCTAAAAAAGAATTTGATTCTGAAATTATTAAACAGTATTGAAAATGTAATAGGGGTGCAAATGATGATAAAATTGGGAAGACTGAGATGATGAAAATTAAAATGCACATTTGAATAAGATCAACAAAATACTGCAGGTTTAAGCATGAGGAATACACAAATAGGGGGCAGAATTTAATTCCCGTATCCCTGAGCAGGCTGGGAGATGCATTAAGGGAATAGATTCAGGTGTGGAAGTTTTGATGATGGATTTTCCATCTGGTGGCCAACTGAGGTGACCTTAAGGCATTATCATGTCACAAGTTGTATTCTACCATTGGCAGTAGATAGTGGAGATGAGGGGAGTAGCTCCACATACCACATGTGGAAGCTTCCCAGTAAAAGCTGGCAGCCTCCTTGAGGAGGAGGAATTGGGTAATCTGTGGCCCTCAGCAGCAAAACCCAGTATCACTGAAAGAGGACATTTGCTCTCCACAAACCAACACACCACCCAACACGAAGGTCTGTGTTACTGACCGAATGTACCAATGTGTTTATGTGTCATAGGGCCTCCATAATGTTCCTACGTCAGTTACAATATCAGTGTGGGACTGAAAAGTACCATACCTCTGATTGGCGGCTATAGAAACAGGATCTTCAGCTTTAAAAGCATGAAATCTCTGCGGCATGAAATTAACAGCCTAATTAGCATTTACTTCTGTAGGGGTACATGAAAATGGCAGCAGTGGAGGTCTCCAACAAGCGGATTGCTGCGGTCAATTGAATTCAGCTCGTGGTGTGAATAGGTTTGGACTGCTCAGAGGCTGTGGTACATCTTGAATCCTTAGGTTGTACATATTCATTATTCATTACAAGAACATAGAAAAGAGTTAAAATTTCCAATAGCATGCTCCCACATACAGCCACACCCTCCAGAATGCACATTAAGTAATCATATTTGCATGGACTTTAATTTTATTACTGTAACAGAAAAGGAAGCTTTAAACTACACTTGCACAACTTCTCAATATGCACTCCCTCAGGATAAGGCTGTACATTGGAAATGCATAATTAGATAATTCATCCTACATGATCAGAAGTAGGTAATTTTATTTATCAGTCTTGATCACCATTTTATTAACAACAGTATCACCATTTTAATGGCAACATCCTGCTTTCTCTTTAAATGAGAATATTAGCAATTTTGGAGAATTAGGGCAATGGTGTGGTAATCCAATGTCTGATTGCACTTCCATCCCATAAGTTTCAGCACAGGCTGCATAGTTTCCAGAATAAATCTTCTAATTCCTCAACAAATTACTTTTAAAAGAAATCATTCACAGGATGTGGACATTGCTGGCTTGGCCAGATTTTGCTCTCTATTTATAACTGTCCCTGAGAAGGTGATGATGATCTGCCTTTTTGAACTACTCCACTCCTTGGGTGCAGGTATTCACACAATGGAAGGGAGTTTCAGGATTTTACCTTGCAACAGTTTAGGAACGGTGATATAATTCTGAGTCAGTGTGATGTGTGACTTGGAGGAGAATTTTGAGGAGGTGGCATACCTATGTATCTGTTGTCCTGGTCCTTCTAAATGTTAGTGGTCACAGGTTTAGAAGGTGCTGTCTAAGGAACTACGGTGAGTTGTTGCAGTCTATGTTGTAGATGGTATGGACTGTTGCCACTGTGGTAGTGAGGGGAATAAATGCTGAAGGCATTAGATAGAATGCCTATTAAGCAAGCTGCCTTGAACTGGATGGGGTCAAGCTTCTTGAATGCTGTTGGAGCTGCACACATCTGGGAAAATGGAGAATTCTCCATCCCAATCCTGATTCATGCCATGTAAACAGCGGACAGGCTTCGGGGATCTAGAGGTGAATTACACACAGCAGAATTTCCAGCCTCAAACCTGTTCTTCTTGTCATTGCATTTATATGACTCATTCAGTTCAGTTTCTGTTTAATGGTAACCCCCAGGATGGTAATTGTGGGGAATTCTGCAATGGTAATGTTTTTAAATATCAAAGGTAGATTGTGAGAATCTCTTGTTAAAATTTGCCTGACACTTGTGTATACAAGTGTTACTTACCAATTATTGGCTCAAGCCTAATTGTTGGCCAAGTCTTGCTGCTGTTAGACATGGGTTGCCTTTGTATTTGGGGAGTCAGGAATTTGCTAAATTTAGTTTAATGACTGGGAGGAAGGAAGTGAAAGTACTGAAGACAAATTTGGAGGTGACACAAAAATAGGTGGAAAAGCAAGTTGTGAGAGGGAGACAAATAGTTTACAGAGGGCTATTGATAGATTAAGTAATTGGGCAAATGGAGTATTATGTGGGAAAATGTGAAGTTGTTCATTTTGGAAAGGAGAACAAAACAATACAGCATTATTTAATTGAAGAAAAACTGCAGAAAGCTGCAATGCAAACGGACTTGGGGTTACTTGTGCACGAAACACAGAAAGCCAGCATACAGGTGCAGCAGGTAATCAGGAAGGGTAACAGAACATTGAACCTTACTTGAACAGGGCTGGAGCATAACAGTAGGAAAGTCTTTGTGCAAATGTGTAAGGTGCTGGTGAGTAGTGGAGTACTGCGGGCAATTTTGGTCCCTTTATTTAAGGAAGGATATAACTTCATTGGAGGCAGTTCAGAGAAGCTTCACGAGGATGATCCCCAGTACGATGGGATTGTCCTATGAATAAAGGCTAACAGGTTGGGACTCCACTCATTAGAATTTAGAAGAATGAGAGGTGATCTCATTGAAACACATAGGATTCCCAAAAACCTTGACAAGGTAAGCTAAAAGGATGTTTCCCATCATGGGAGAGTCTAGGACCAGAGGACATAGTCTCAGGATAAAGGGGCACCAGTTTAAGTCTGAAATGAAGAGGATTTTTCCTCTCAAAGGGTTAAGAGTTTTTGGAACTCCTTGCCAAAGAGAGTTCTAAGAGCAGAGTCCTTGTGTACATTTTAAGGCTGAGATAGATTGATCTTGGCTAGTAGGGGAACCTAGGATTACTAAGAAAATGCAGGAAAGTAAACATGAGAATTGTCGGATCAGCCACGATCCTGTCGAACGAAGGAACAGGCTCGAAGGACTGAACAGCCTATTCCTCCTTCTTCTGGTCTTATAGTCTTAACATTGTGCAATCAACAGGGAGCATTCCTACCTCTGACCTTCTGATGCCTATGGTACTGTCTTGAGGAACTCCTGCAGTAATGTCCTGAGACTGATATGACTGATCCCAAGGAAATATCTGCTTTTTAAATGTCTCAATGAACTTTATATTTACAACTTTCTGGGGCACATTCTCATAACTCAAATGTCGTTTATTTTTTCTTGGAATTCCTTCGAACGACTTTATCTCAAATTCCATGACACGTAATCTTGCTCTTGATTCTCTGACTAAAGGTAAGTATCCGTTCAAATATCTAAAATGTGATTAAATCATCCTTTAACCTTCTCATGTACGTAACATAACCATATCAATCTTGTATCTTAGCTAATCCTATTATCTCAGGTATTTTTATTTAAGGTAAATGCCATATATTTTCGTAAGATGTACAACTAAAATTAAACACAATATTCCAAATGATTTAGCAATTTCCTTTTTTTAAAATTCTGGTGACCCTTTTTAAAAAGTAAAACCAACGCTAACTGATGCCACTTGTGTAGTAAAGAGGCGTGATCCCAATGATGTGCTTGGACAAAGAGAATGGTAAAGAGAGCCATCTGGCCATGAAATATTAGTACAGCAATACTGGAAATTTAACTTTTTGAATGAGTAGCTTCTCAAAGTACAACCAATGGTTGAAGATTAACAATGATTAAACTCAAGTAAAACTAGAGATAATTGGATAAATTCAGCACAAGTTACATTTTTGTGATGCAGCGCTTGTTCGTGTGACTGTATATTGAAGTAACCATTGCTCAATTTTGCTTAATTTTTAACACTTTTTTTCTGTGCTGAATTTCAATGACCTGAAAATTGGGAGTGTTGCAAATCTGGCATTTTGACCTCTGTGCTCTATTCTTTCATTCATTGTCCTATTCAGTAAGAACATTATCTGAATATCTATTTTATTTGATAATTTATTTTTTGCCAGATTATGCTAGTTATACATAAGTTGCTGCACCAGATCTTCCCAAACTGTCAAGTGAAAGAAGGAAATGAGAAATTCACACAAATCATAGAAATATAGAAAAGGGAAATAGAGTTTAGAAAAAAAGAATTATTGAGATTATTTTAATGCTCTTGAATGACTTTGCACTCCAGGTGGCATACGCAACTTACTGTTTCTCACTTATGTTTCTATTGCTCGTTAATGCTACAGATACATTGTTTTTTTGCCTGTAGATATTCAACGTTGTCATCTCTGCATTAGGGAACATCATTCTGCAAAATAACCTGGGCCCATAAAGCAAGTGTTCTGTAACCTAAGGCTCTTCAACGTACTTACGAAGAATCTTTTGAAACATAGTGCCTCCACATTGATCTTGATAGTAACAATTCTGCTATTTGCCTGAAAGGCTAATGGTTCCCGGCATTCATTTCATGGTCAGGAGGTCAGGAATGAGGTTTCCTCTTTTTTCAGAGATCAATGTATCCTCTCTTTAACTAGCACTTGACAGATTGCCCAGAAAAAAATCTACTGTCTGATATTAAAAAGTGAAAATAATTAATCAAAACTGAAGATGTGGGAAATGACAGCCCCAGCATCTTGGCAATGCAAAGAAATGTACAAAATTTCCAATCCTTGGAGAAAAATATTACTATATTTATTTCCAGCGACACCACATGTAGTACATGGCAGAGATTTACTTTGCAGAGTACAGATATGAGGTCATTACTCTGTTCATTGTCCAAAGGTATCTATCATGTTTGCAACATAGAAATGGGATGATCACACATGATAATGGTTCATGCCATGCAAAAAAGGAGCAGAAACAAATTGCTCATTATTCAAAACGCATTCAATTACCCAGTAGAAATAAAGGACAGCATGGACAGCATCACACACTTCAACAATTCAGATAGGAATAATTCCTGCTCACATGCTTTGAAATCATAGTCAAAACACAATTATTTGACAAATAATGTGTCCAGTGTAATTTGAGCTGTGAAGTACATGAAGGGAGACAGAATTCCTGTGGAGGAAAAATTAAGCAATTCCAATGTAAGAATTATCAAATCCAATTGAGATGGATGTTCTCCAACATGATTAGTATAGAAATTAACAGGCTCCTGTATTCTGACAGATTGAGGGATTTGACTGCCCCACCACTTCAGCTGGGTCACCAACAACACATCAGTAAATGCTACAATTACTTTCTTTAGCACCCAGGTCCTATCACTACTAACAGTCAACCTGCTTGAGTGAGTGGAGAGTGCATCACTAAAGGCTAGTCACTAGTGGTGAACACACCTCTCTATGTAAGAACACATGCAATTTCATATTGCACAATGTCTTTTCTGCAAATTACTAGTTAGTTACCCAAGTCGTCCATCCATTGCAGCGGCTCCACCAGGAATAATTTTGGTAATAAAAATCCCAGGATCATCTGGAACATGAGGATTATCGATTCCTCCAGCAATACTAAATCCAAGGCCTGAATTACCCTGTAAGGACAAAATCAATCAATTATTGATTCAACTCGAACTCCAGAAATCCACCATCTTGCTACATATCTAATCATTCTGTTAAAATTAAATTCATGTCTTGGTTATTATAGAGAACAGACTTCAATTATTGCCAATTCACTGTGGTCCGGGGCTTGTTCATATTAAATTAAGACTCAGCCTTCATATACTACAAATTAACAAAGTCTTATACCTTGCTACTAAAATAGTAAGGCTCACACTTCAATATAATTTTGCTGAAACCTTAACCTCTGAGCCAGGAGGCTCAAGTTCAAATTCTACCTACTCTAAAGGTGTTTGATAGCATCTTTGACCAGGTTCTTTAGAAAATATCTACGCACCTCCCCCCCAGTTAACGTTAATTCACTCAAAATCCACAGAGTTGTATCCTGTCACTCACCCGAAACACTGTACTCACCCTTACACCTACACCCAACCAGAAACACACTCAGCCACTCAAGCTCACAGAAGTCCAGAAATATACAAATAATTTTTCCAATGGATTATGCTTAATTCTGTAATTTTGAACATAAGATATTCACCATGGAGCATGGTGAATCAATGTTGGAAAAAGTCAGCTGATGTACAGAAACAAGTTCTTCTAAATGTGCAGTTTGCAATGATTATAAATACATATTAGAGTGTTTTGGCATCCTGAACTTTATAATTCTGTAATCCATTACGTTATTCTCAAATGTTCGTATGCTGTGTCATTGGTCTCAGTTGCTGTCAGAAATAGGGGTGCCTGAGCAACTCTGCAGAGCACTGACTTACTGATATAATATTAAAGCTGTTGTGCAAAACAATAGCATTTATATCAAGGAATTTCAAGTTAAAGTCAAAGGTGACAGAGCCAATACAAACTGCAACTTTAGCTTCTAAATGAGATGCCTTTGAGAAGCAAAATTTTGACTCACATATTGTCATGGAGCTTTCAAGTATAATGCAACAGGGGTACTTCATCACAATGAAATGTCCTTGTATAACTGTGTTAAGCACGTAGCCTCAGAAATTGTTCACTCCTTTTTGTGAAACCAAGGCTGTTTCTTTTAGCTGCAGACCTTCCTACTTTATACATTACATCCACAACATTCAAAGTTGGACATTTTAAAATTTTCTAAAGTGATGGAAGCTAAGCTCCATTATGCTGCAAATTAATCAGTAATTTTAATTATAAACCAGTTGCTCTGAACTGAGGTTCCTCATAATGAGTTGTTGAATTTACTGTTTCATCATTTAAGACTGGCTCTCAATGTTTTTTCAGGGGTGGCATCTGGCTTATTAGAACAGATATTCCTTTTAGATATTACAGTGTACCTTGGAAGTGTTGTATCATGAGCATGAAAATGCAAGGACACTTCCTTCCTTGGCTATTTGTACAGTTTGGGAACTCCTGGTGCAGACCTGTCCCTAGGTTGGGCTTTGTGCCTAAAACAAAATCAAAATGCAGATTTCTGAGGCTCTGCATCAGCCTTCCAAGATTGGGATCTCTTGACCAATAATTGAAACCAGCAGCCAGAAGATCTAAGTGCCACAAGTCAATCCAGGAAAGGTACAAAAACAGTACAAACTTTATGCTTGTCCAGCCTGTCTCCAGTAGCTTTGTGACACTTCAACTAGCAGATTTCCAGGGACAGCTAACTATCGACTGATTTATCTACAGATGCTCTCTTACAAGATATCTAGAAAGTAGGCCGAATGAAATGATACCTTCCACAGCCCTTTAAAATATCAGCAGTTGAGGTGCATTGAGTGGGGAAGTCCTCCATATTGTGTGCAGTGCAAAAGATCTCTGTTTTTTTTGCCTATCTTATGTCTGAAGAACACCGAGTCAGATATTTGATCAACATGTGAACAAGACATTTCAGGTGTATCAGGACAGAAGTATGTTTATTTCAAATGTATTTATTTATTCATAGGATGTGGGTGATATGTTGACTGTTTAGGTGGCAGGACAGGAGACTGCACCATCTGAAACATCTTGCCCTAAGTCTCTATATGATGCATGTGGTAACTACCATATTATTGTGAAAGTCGCAATGTTTGAATGAGACCATTAAAGTGTTCTATTTAACATAATGGGCTGAATATTACTTCTTTTGGCCAACAAGAGTTCTTCGCCTATCTTACCACACGTATCTTTTTAACTACCTACCCCGACACTATGGCATCTCTCACATCTGATTCTACCTTCCATTTTATCACACACTGTTCCTGGAACAACTCTCACCAGTAATCAGCTGCAAGACCTGCATCCCTTGCAAGGGCTTCATATTTTAAAGAGTGCTATGCACCCAGACGAGCACTGACGTTCTGAAGCTGCCTTGCTTGGTCAAGGATGGAGCCTGAACATATCAGAGAAAGGAAACTGGATGAGGGAGTGGTGCAAAGGAGAGGAATCCTCTTCTGGAAGGATTGGCAGAGGAGGCCACACCACCACTTGAGGTCACCACCCGGGTCACTGCCATCTCAATGGTGCAGATAACAATGCCATAAGAAGGTCAATGATCTGTTCTGTTCTGGCAGGCTAAGTGCCATACTCTTCTCTGTGTTATCTCACACTCACTCTATTTCTACCACTACATTCACCTCCAACCAAGGATCATGCTTTACCACTCTCACTATTGCCTGCAATATCTGCCCCAACTCACACACCCAGGTCATCTCATCAGCTTTTGAGCATCTGCACCAAAACTAACAACCTTGTCACCCATTTTCATGTCAATCAATCTCTTTCTTTCCCTGCAGGAGAAGACGGCCCAGAATAGAGCGGAAAGGCCCAGATGGGCGGAGGGGTGCCCTATATTCAACTCATCAGCAATTCCGAGGAGAGTCCAGGCTCACATAGGAGAAGGCTGGACCACTTCTTTAGAGATGCTGAGACATCTACGTTTCACATTCTGAGTAAGTACCACTCTAAATCCCCCTCCCTCACTTCTTGTCCGATTTTGCCACAAATCTCGCAATGGTCCACGCCTCTCAGACCTCTCTAAAATTCTGCCCTTTGTGCCTGACTTCGAAGGATAACACACTTTATTTTATTAATTATGCAGTTGATCACTCATGTATGTTCTAAAATCTGAGAAAGGAAGGTATGCTTTCAAGATTATGGGCAGAATTTTACCTGTTTAATTCCTGGTGCAAAGGAAGTTCAATTTTCAAGTTTGGAACTTTACTCAAGGCACAGCACACCTGTCAGTTATTCTTTACCAGAGCAACGCATTTAACAGTCCCACTTTGGGCCTTCTGAACAACTGGGGAGGGAATGTGGGATGATACATCCATTCTGATGAGGGAAGGTCCACACATGTTTCAGAAAATATCACTAGCGCTTGTAGATTTCAGGCCTCAGGACCATTAGAATGATGAGGTGATCTGAGATGGCTAATCCTGTGGGTCTTTCTTTCTTGCGTAGAGGGGCATCAGTGAGGGATGTCACACATTGAAGTGTAAGCCATGACTGGGATGGAGAGACAACCTCTCCAACTATGTGGGTAGGCATGGATGTGATCAAGCATGTCAACTGCTCTTCTGTTTAGTGGCACCAAAAGGATCTAAAACCTCAGAAGGTCATTGAAGATGAGTGGAATGGCACACTCTGAGTCACAAAGCATTCTTCTGTACAGTACTCTTCAAAATAATACAATTTACAGTTGCAGTCATTCCTTTTGCTACAGGCATTTCACTTCCCCTTTCACCTCACATTCACTCACAGCCTATTGCTCTCTTAAACCCAAACTTCATAGTCATTCTCCACAAATGATATCTTTCTTTCAAGTCATTAGTCACACCTAAGTACATTCTCTCCCTACAGGAGATGAAACCTCACTACTTGGTGAGACGCAGAGACCTGAGTGGGAATCCAAAGACAGGCACCTGTTGACCATTGACAATGTGTGCCCTCTGGGTCCATTGGAAAGGAGGTCTTGTTCCGGGAGGCTGCAGATGTCAGCAGCAACTGTTATGATCCCCAGAGGCATGGTGTTCAGAAAATTTCAAAGTGCTGTTCCTCTGTCTGCACGAGTTGGAGCACTTTATAAGAAGTTGGTCATTATCATCAAGCAGTGAAAACACTAGTGAACAGAAGTGCTTTGCGTAGCTGTCTTTCAATGGCCATATTTACAGCTACTCAATTTTGCTGACCAAAGCATTCCTAGCTTGTCAATTTCATGAAAGAAGCTCTTTCCACTGCAGTAATGCAGAACAGTTGAGAAATGAGTGTTATTCAGTATTCAGGATTTAAAGACCCCATAATTGCCTTGATAACATCCTCAACAACCTCTTAATTATTAGGAAGGTTAAGTTGCTCCATTCGGAGCTCCACTTTGCTTGCCAATTCCCTTTTCTTTTCATTTCTTTTCCTCTCTCCTCTCTGCAGTAATTCTATCCCTCCCACCCGCATTCCCTGCTCTTTTAACTATCTACCTAAAGAGTCGGATCGCGACCAGGAACTGCATGGCAGGAGATGAATGCGCAGGCCTTGTCTGCAGCCACAGCAGATTGGGCGTGGGCTGAAGCGGCAGTGAAAGCAGGTCGGAAAGGCGGCAGCAGTTGGTGGCGAACGCGGGCTGATGAGGAGGCAGCAGTTGGTGGTGAGACAGGCCAGTAAGGTGGTGAGAAGGCCAGTAAGGCAGTGAGAGCGGGCCGGTAAGGTGGTGAGACAGGCCGGTAAGGCAGTGAGAGCGGGCCGATAAGGTGGTGAGACAGGCCGTAAGGCAGTGAGACCGGGCCGGTAAGGCGGTGAGAGCAGGCCGGTAAGGCGGTGAGACAGGCCGGTAAGGTGGTGAGACAGGCCGGTAAGGCGGTGAGAGTGGGCCAGTAAGGCGGTGAGACAGGCCGGTAAGGCGGTGACAGCGGGCCGGTAAGGCGGTGAGACAGGCCGGTAAGGCGGTGAGAGCGGGCCGGTAAGGCAGTGAGATAGGCCGGTAAAGCGGTGAGAGCAGGCCGGTAAAGCGGTGAGAGCAGGCCGGTAAGGCGGTGAGAGCGGGCCGGTAAGGCGGTGAGACAAGCTGGTAAGGCGGTGAGAGTGGGCCGGTAAGGCAGTGAGACAGCTGGTAAGGCGGTGATACAGGCTGGTAAGGCAGTGAGAGCGGGCCGGTAAGGCAGTGAGACAGCCGGTAAGGCGGTGATACAGGCCGGTAAGGTGGTGAGACAGGCCGGTGATGTGGTGAGAAAGGCCGGTAAGGCGATGAGAGCAGGCCGGTAAGGCAGTGAGAGCAGGCCGGTAAGGCAGTGAGAGCAGGCCGGTGAGGCGCTGAGAGCAGGCCGGTGAGGTGGTGAGACAGGCCGGTAAGGCGGTGAGAGCGGGCCAGTAAGGCAGCAGCAGTCGGCAGTAAGAGTGGGCCTTTCGCATGGTGGCTTGGTGGCACCTCCTGGGTGTCCTAGCGATTAGAGTGGCACCTGCACCATTGTGGAGATGGGACTTGGGACTCTGAGATCTGGACTTTTTTTCTTGCTTACATTTTGGCTGTGTTAAATCTTTTAGTTCTGGTTTTTGTAACCAAGTCAGCGCCAGTGAATGGCGACTTTGTGCACTTTTCGCCGTGTTTACGTATTCCTCTACTTGGTACATGTGACAAATAAATAAATCTAATCTAAATATAAATCTAATTATTTATCTAACAGAACCAAGGGAGTTCTTGCTCACCTTCAGTGCTGACCCTGGGGAAAGCTGGAAGAGGTGAGATCTCATCAGGATCCAGTCCTCATGTCACTTGCCAAGACTTTCATAACCTGCTTGACCTGAACCTGTCCCCAGAGGTCTGGGAAAATTCTACCGCATGAGTTCAGTAATGATGGGAAGGATGCGGTGTAAAATTTAATATTGAATCATGAAGAAAATAATCATTGTAAGCAGACTATACCAAGATCGATGCTGTGAAGGACCATCCAGAAATACAACAATAAATAATGTTGATTTCTCTGCCTCACCAACCTGCAGCATTTGTAATTGTGAGCTTCCTATAACAGGGCCCCTTCTTTGATCTTGGAATTGATCTATTAACCTTTCCAGGTGAATGATTACAGATGTAAGGGCATTTAGCCATTTCTAAAAGATGTAGTGTGAATCCTCCTGCAGGGTCCATTCTAGTTTTCATTAACAACAGTGTAAATTTTCAGTAAATACCCAGAGATGAGGACACTCTGAATGCTAAATACCAGTGAGGGGTCTCCAGATTTCAGTTATGTTTAAAGTCTGACATTTAAAAATTGAACAATTGATCTCACCTCCACTGAATAATCATTACTTTCCTTTGGCAGCATGATAAAGAGAGACTAAGGAGTTTGTTTTGGTTTCCAAAAACCAATAGGTTAGCAAATGAATGCACATAGTTACATTGATTAAATCTGAGGGCGAGTAATATGCTCCTATCTATCAATAGAGGTATACATTAATGGCTACTATATCCTAAAAATCACATGACTTCATTTACTGGAGAATCAATAATGAACATGCCAGGCCTGGAGTCAAAAGAATTGCTTATGGATCATGTATTTGAGCAGACAATACTCTGCACCAGAAGATACCACTGTTTATAAATCTCATTAATTAAAATAACACTGTTACTCCAGGATAATTCTTTTAATACAGAATATACATTATGCAAAAGATAAATGAATAGGTAACTAAAAGAACTCCCTCAACCCCCACTCCCTCAAGGGGACTGCTATCCATCTTGAACAGGATGTCAGGTGTACAGAGATGGAACAGCGAGAAAATATAGATACTGGCTTGATTGTCAGAGCATTTTAATCCCTGAGCCTCATTTTATATAAATGTGGTTGGTCTATGTCCATCTAGAATGGATGTGAACAGGTTCAAAAGCAGTTGCCAGCAGGCAAATATTGAACAGCAAGCTTTCATGTAGGAACTGGGGCTGGGATCTCATTAGACAAGTGAACAGCTTATTTTATCTGCCTGGATTCTGCTGGGTGAACAGCATTAAAACAATCCCTCTGGATAAAATACTACCATTAACAATCCAACTGGGGAAATGCAATTACCATTACACACCTACATGGAAAGACAAACCATTCTACTCACACGTTCCAGGATTATCTCTTCATATTTGTACATTCCATCACTCCCATTAGCCTAGGGGAGAAAAAAAAGTAAATTTCATTATTTTAAACAAATGATGCATCACATACCTAAATTTCTTTCTTGTTCAAAATCATGGTTAAAAAAACTGTGGGGAATCTCATTTTTCCCAGAAAGAGACGCTTCTTAACTTGCTCATCCAATAGGAATGTAGCAAATTAGAAATCAAGTACTGGGCAGTGCTGAACTTTTCAGTTATGCTTGAATATTAAAAGTGGAATTCAATAGAGATGTGGCTGATCCTGTAAAGGTGAGGGACACATTACCAAAATCTCTGCTTTTTTTCTGAACTTCGGGAAAGGTTGAATTGCACCTTTGCTTTCAAGACAGGAACTAATGGTATTCATCCATGTCAATGCCATATTCCTGCTATCCTCATAGTCCTTGATGTTATCAGCAATTAGAAATCCATCACATTCTTCTTTAACTTACTTAATGAGTGAGCTTCCACAGCTCTCTAAGGTAGAGAATCCAAAGGTTCACCATCATCTGAGTGAAGAGTTTCTTCTTTAGTTCAGTCCTAAATGGCTTGCCTTTAATTCTGAGATTGTGTTTTCTGGTTATAGAACCCACAGCTAGGGGTAACACCCTTGCTGCATCTATTCTGTCTATCTCTTTAAGAATTTTGTATGCTGCCATGAGATCATCTCTGAATCTTTTAAATTCCAGAGACTACAGTCCCAGTTCTTCTTAACCTTTCCTCCCACAGATCAGTCTGGTGAACCACTGCTGAAATCCCTCTATGGTAAGTATATCTTTCCCTAGAAAAGGGGACCAGAAAAGCACACAATACTCCAGTGTGGTCTCACTATGTTCTAAGCAATTTAAACAATATTTCTTTGCTCAAAATCTCTTGTGATAAAGGCTAACGATCCTTGCGGTACCTCACTTGTCACAACCTGCCAACCTCAGAATGACCAATTTATTCCTATGCACTGCTTTCTGCTTGTTAGCCAAAGCTCAATCCATGCTAGTATATTATTTTCTAATTCTATGTGTTTTAATTTTGTTTACTAATCTCTTTTGTGGGACTTATTCAAAAACCTTCTGAAAATCCAAACAGAATACATCCAATGGTTCCCTCTTATTAACTTGTTAATAACATCTGCAAAATACTCTGTCAGGTTTGTCAAACATGAATTCTCCTTAAAAGTTGACTCTGATAAATTAGACAATTAAGTTCTAAATAATCTGCAATCACATCTTTTATAATAGATTCTAGTATTTTCCCAACTATTGATGTGAGGTGAACAGATCTTTGGTTCCATGTTCTCTCTTCCGGCTTTCTTAAACACTGTCGTCAGATTTGCAACCATCTAATCTGTAGATACTGTTGCAGAATTAATAGGGTTTTGAAATATGATCAGCATTGCATCCACCATCTCTGCAGCCATCCTTTTCAACATTTTAGGGTGAAGGTTACTGGGTTCCGGGTCAACTTCTGGTCCCATTGATTTCAGCAGTGCTACTTTATTTTCTAATACCAGTTTATTTCAGTTGCACACATTGACTAAACGCTTGGATCTTAATTATTTCAGGGAAAATTCTTGTGTTTGTAAAGAATGGTACAAAGTACTTATTTGGTTTCACTTTATCTGCCTGCAAAAAATCTCACATTTGTCTTTGCTAATCTTTTCCTTTTTACGTAGTTACAGAAGCTTTCACAAATCTGTTTTTGTATTCCTTGCTATTTTACATTCATATTCTTTATCAATTTCTTGGTCCTCCTTTGCTGAATTTTAAATTTCTCCCAACCCTAAGCCTTACAAGGTTTTTTCTCTTGGAACTTTATACGTCTTCTCCTTTGATCTAATACACTTCCCTTGTTAGCCATGCCTTTCTCACTTTTCGTGTAGGACATTTTTGTTACAAAGACACAAAGCCATTTTGTTGTATAGACACACTTTTTGTCAGCACCTAATCATAACTTTATTCATCTAATCCAACATGCATGCTATCCTATTAATTTAGTCTCCTCTGTGAAGTTTCTGCAAACTCTCTTCTTGATTTCTGCACTTAAATCCAGTAAAGCTTTCTGAATGAAAATTTGCCTCGTATATGTAGCAGCATTTTAGATGCCATGCATCATGCTCAGTGTCCACCTGTTGCCACCAGCTGCTTCCTGCTCAGTCTGCATGACATTCTGTGAAGATATGAATCCACGTGGGTGTTTCTTTCACATGCAGGGGAAAGCTGTGATTCAGCACTATCCTGACAATATAAACCCCATCTGGCTGATGTGACACTAGAATCCTAAATTTGGGCAATGAATATAGAGAGTCTGCATTGTTTATTCAAGAGAAAAATAACCATGAAATTGTAAGATGGACCAACATAGTACCATTGTTTAAAGGGTCATAGAATCATAGAATCTCTACAGTGTGGAAACAGGCCATTCAGCTCATCAAGTCCATACCAACCCCTCCAAAGACATTCCACGCAGTGCACCCTAACCTTGTAACCTCAACAATCCTGCACAATCTTGAACACCATGGGTAATTTAGCATGGCCAATCCACCTAGCTTGCACATCTTTGGACTGTGGGAGGAAACCAGAACACCCAGAGAAAACTCACGCAGACACGGGGAGAATGTGCAAACTCCACACGTGAAATCGCCTGAGGGTGGAGTTGAACCCAGGTCCCTGGCGCTATGAGGCAGCAGTGCCAACCACTGAGCCACCATGTCACCCAGGTACGCTGACTATTGCTAAGTAACTTTTGCAAAATTTTCCATTAGAAATGGGGGAGGCAATGGCCTAATGGTATTATTGCTGGACAGTTAATCCAGAGATCAAGGTAACATTCTGGGGATTCAAGTTCAAATCCCACCCCAGCAGATGGTAGAATTTGAATTCAATAAAAATCTGCAGTTAAGAATCTAACAACTACTATTAAATCATTGTGATTGTTAGGAAAAACTCATCTGGTTCACTAATGTGCTCTAGGGAAGGAAAATGCTGTCCTTACCTGGTCTGGCCTACATGTGAATCCAGACCCACAGCAATGTGGTTGACTCTCAGCTGCCCTACAGGAAATTAGGAATGGGCAATAAATGCTGCCTAGCCAGCAGTGCCCTCATTCCATGAAAGAATTAAAGTTTTTAAAAAAATGTCTGAAGTGTTTTTGAAGATGTTTTGGTGGTTTCTCCAATGCATGGGAGAGGGTTGCCACGCCTTCAAAAAGTAAGCGGAGGAATAAGTGACCTGTTAATGCAGATTATGCAACAGGTGGGTAGGCAGTGATTGTATTGATTCTGCATCTTCATGGATATGGAGAAGAGATTACGGAGAGGGCTGGTTTCAAGGCATCTTTCCTGCCAAATTGAAGCATCAGTCTTGAATGCTTCTTGACAGTGACAGGCAGTTTCTGGCCAGTGCCACCAACATCTTGCCGTGTACACCCATTCAGTATTCTCCTCTATGCTATCATACTGAGGTTCTCATACAAGTCCTATGCAGTGATATGCATTTGCCATCTCATCCTGATATGAGCTGCCAAATGCACCAGCCTTTATGTGAGTGCTGGCTGCAGCACAATCATGTGCAGATGGATCACCTGATATGGACATATGAAATTGGAATAGAAGTAGACCATTCAGCCCTCAAGCCTGCTCCACCATTCAATAGGATCACAGCTGATCTGTTTGTGTTTTGGACTCCATGTTCCCATGTACCTCTGGTAAACTTGCATTCCCTTGTCTCATAAGAATCTATCTCCCTCTGCATTAAAAAAATTCATGAACCTGCCTCCATCACCTTCTGAGGGAGTGAGTTCCAAAGTCACACAATCCTCTGACAGAAAAAGAACTCTCCTCATCTCTACCTAAAAAGGGAAATGCCTACATTTAAACAGCAGCCTTTAATTTTGGACTGACCTGCAAGTGGAAACTGCCTATGTCCACATTGTCAAGACTGATCAGGATCTTATTCAATTCAATCAAGTCACACCTCATTCTTCAAAATTCCAGTAGAAACAAGCCCAGTCTACCCAACTGTTTTATTTGCATAAGACAACCTGCTCATCCTGGGTATCAATTGAATAAAACTCCTCTGAACCACCTGTAATGTTGATCTGAACTCTACACCAATCAAGGTATGTGCTGAGCTGGTGGATCTGAGCACTAGATCAATGTGGAGGGTGGTTAAGATTGGACTGCAAGATGAGGGTGAGTTCAGAGTTGAGAACAGTCATACACCATGAACAGATTATCTTCCTCAATATTCTCAGTGACGCCAGATGCCAGGAGGTTGAAGCAGGTTATGCAGGTTTGGAGTCTATGAGCTTGGAGGTGGGGGTGAAATCACCAGATGAAATGAGATTAGTAACATTTGTGGACAAAATAGCCTGTTGTTCCATGGTGGGGTCATGGTCCAGGGGAGATAGGAGGAGGTGTCTGAGATGTAGAGCTCAGCCTGTCAGACAACAACAGCAGCACCCTTGTGGCAGGTGTGATTATAAAGACAGGGTTGGATCTGCCTCCAAGCTCATACTTCCCAAACCCCAAACAGCCTGTTTCTATCTCCTTCCTAAAATCCACAAACTACACTGTCCAGGCAGACTCATTGATTCTGCTTGCTCCTGCCTCACGGAACTCATCTCTTCCAACCTCGGCTTGATTTTTTTCTCCCTTTGTCCAGTAGCTACCCACATAAATCTGTGATTCTTCTGATGTCAGCTTCAGAATTTCCAGTTCATGGGCTCTAGCCGCCTCCTCTATGCTATGGACATGCAAGCCTTTTACATATCCATCCCTCATCAGAATGGTCTCAGGGCTCTCCATTTCTTCTGGAAAACAGGCCTGAACTATTTTCATCCACCACCACTCTCTTCCACCTGGCTGAGCTCATCCTCGCTTTGAACAACTTCTCCTTTAACTCCTCCCACTTTCTTCAGGTCAAAGGGTTGGCAATGGGTAGCAGCATGGGTTCCAGTTATGCCTATCTCTTTGTGGGATTGGTGGAACATTCCCTATCCAGTCCTATTCCAGCTCCCA